TTAAGAAGAATTGAATTTGAAAACTCCCCTATTTTGTTGATCCAGATACCAGCCTCAAATAAACTTTGCACAGCCACCTTGGAATTAAACAGTTTGATGGCAGCTGGGATATACTGAGCCCCAGATGAATTAAAAAAAATATGTAAGATTTTATGCCGCTGGCGCCAATCTTTCACCATGAGCAGCTTCAACTGACCAAGATAATTTTCAGTCAAACCTAGGGTTGCCATCCCCCCAGTGGGGCCAGGGGATTCCCCCAATTTTGGGGGCCCCAATCCGCTGCTGGCCAGCTGACCAGTGGGGAAAGCCCCACCCCAAACAGCAGCAGCCCATGGGGACACTGCCAATGCATAGAGTTTTTGCCCCAAATGCTAGAATGTCACTTCACAATGGCCCTAGTGTAATGACATCATACCAGTCAGGAGCCCCCCGATGCAGGAAAGGTGAGACCTGGCAACCCTAGTCAAACCAGAGATTAAATAGGGGACCTCCTCAATATGATTACCATGAATTTTCCACTTGTGGTGTAGATGGGATTTCCCCCCAAAAGCAACCATCTTGGATTTTTTATAGTTAACTATCAGGCATTCTTCCAGACAGAGATTATTTATTTATTAATTATTTATTTAATTTATACCCCGCCCTCCTTGTGAAGGCAGGCTCTATCAGAGAGGACATTCCTGATGTTGTTCTTGATAGGAGAACTGCATCATCAGCAAAAGTAGGATAGAAACTTTAATGTTAGCAATGGATGGAGAATAGCAGTGCTGGGCAGAGACAGCAGAAAGCATTTGGTCGATATACAAATTAAACAATAAAGGGGCCAGCACGTACCCCTGACGCACTCCCTGCTGTAGGGAAATTATGTTGGAAAGTTGTCTGTTTAACCCATAGTGGATTTGTGCAGTGGGATTAGAATATAGAGTCTCAACCAAAGCCAACAGTCTCTTGTCAATAGATGTCAGTTTTAGCTAGTGCCATCATCTGACATGGAGTACGGTATCAAAAGCCACATTCAGATCCATGAAGGCAGCAGCAAGGATCCCCTGACTCTTGGTTGTATATTTATTGATTCAGAAGTATAATGTCATCTGTATCAGCCCCCCTGCCTAAATCCAGCCTGTTCTCCTCCCCAGGATTTTATTCGTCTCCAGCCAGTCCACGTGTCGGTTATAAAGGGACAGAGCGTAAAGCTTCCCAGCCACTGATAAAAGGCTGATTGGCCTGTAGTTGGATGTGTCCACTTTGTCTCCCTTCTTATAAACCAGTAATATGATAGCATGTCTCCATCTCCTGTTGCATTTATCTGAGTGAAACATTTGCCAGTATATCCTTCCACCATGAGATATCGGCTTTGAAGAGTTCTGGGGGAATTACATCTGCACTTGGGGCCCCCTTTCCATTCTTCATTCGAGAAATGAAATTAGCTGCTCTGAGCCTGCCCTAGCGGGGAGGGCGGGATATGAATCTAATAAATGAATAAATTGGTAAACTAATTTCAGCTGGTCAAACAGGGAGGCCACTCTACTAGTTCAGCTAGGTTCCAATAACTGGGATGATCATAGTTACTTAGGGTTCCCAAGTCCGAGTGGCGCTGGAGTTTTCCCTCGGATGACCGTGGCCCCACCCCCAGCGTGCCTGGCGTGGTCGCGTCACTTCCGGGTGATGTGCATGTCGTGTGCTTTGGGGGTGGGGTTTCCCCCGGGGCCCGATCCGCCGCCGCCGGGAACAGGCCTCTGGGGCGGGGGTTTCCCCGCCCCCGTGGGGACTTGGCAAGCCTATAGTTACTACAAGAACTAGGGGCACCAAACTGCACCCTTAGGGGCACCAAACTGCACCCGCCCCATGCCAAAAGTCCCTCCCCCGCCTGGCTGCTTTCAGCTGCTGCATCTCGGCCTGGCCCAGGGAGCCCGTGGCGCGCTCGGGGTGGCGGGGGGGGCTCGGGCACCCCGTGGAGGGGAAGCTGGAGGGGGTGGGCAAGAGAGGAGGGAGTGCAGCACAGCCAGAGAGTCCAGCAGCCGCACCCAAGAGACATGCAGAATCCCCCCCCCCTCTTTGGCCCTGATGCAAGAGCAAAGCCTCCTCCCCATCCAACCCCAGAAAGAACGCCCCCCCCACCATCCTTGCTCAGCCTCCCCAGCAACACAGCTCGCTCACTTCAACCTTTTCCATGCTGCAGATACCACCACCCCTGCAAGGCCGCCCCGTGGAGATTTTTCTTGCGAGCAGCCCCATCCGGCTGCATTAGAAGCCGTAGTCGCTGTCTCGGGCCTGCCTGGCTGAAGTCCGGGCATGGCGCCTCGCAGGGAGGGCGGGAGGAGGAGGAAGCCTTTCAACTTCCTCTGCAGCATGGAAAGGGTTAAAGGAGGGCGGGTGAAGCGGGGGGGAGCCAAAAGTTCTCCGCGGGGGGCGGCTTGGCTCTTGCCTCGCAGCCGGAGGGACCCGGGAGAAACCTCAGAGTTGCACGGCTTTTCAGTCCTGGGAGAGAGAGAGGGAGAAGGGCTGGGCTGCCGTCGCGTGCTTTTTTGAGCACCTCTGAGCAGGAAAAGCAGATCCAAAACGACCTTCGGAAGCAGGAACAGGCAAGGGGCTACTCGGGGGCAACCAGAATCCCCCCCCCACTCAAGGCAAAGGCGGAGCCTCAAAGTGCTGCTACTGCTGCTCACCCCCCCTGCTGACCTCTCCTTTTAAGTCTCCCTTATGTCCAGGCCCTGCCTGGAGGTTGGCAACCCCATAATTGGGGCGCACGGGGGGGGCAGAAGGCAGCCTCGCCTAGTGTACAAAAAAACCTGGAGTCGGCCCTGCCTAGTACATAAAACAGAGTTAACCAGCTTCCAAAATTCACTGAGATTTCTATTATTTCTGGCACCTCTGAGTAGTTTTTGCTAATTAGCGAGGCAAGCTTCTTCTTTGCTTTTTTGTATAGCTTCTCTATAAGCTTTTTTCCAAAAAAAGAAAAGCTTGTAGTCTAATCGAAGAGCTAGCATGTCTGCATTCCGTAAGCGCCTGGTAGTAAAACTTAGCTCTCCAAGGAGCACAACTGAACACCACAGCGCAGCCAACTGGAACCGGTTTTACAAAGCTCTCAAATGAGAACTGTTTCCAGAATCCATGGTTCCACATTCTAGTTCCTGTATCAGGTTATGATACATATGTTATTCCTGAAGTTTGGTGACACAACCAAAAGACTAACAGGAATCAGTGTCTTGAAACCACTAGATTCTGAAACTGCACATTAGGTTTTCAAAATAAAAGATTCAGGAGTTTCAGTCAAATTTCATACTTTTTTTCTCCTGGCAAAGCTGTGTTAGATCACCTTGTTGGCTTTTCAATAATCATTATACCTTTCATTGATCCTAGGGGCAAATTCCACCTCTTGTGTGATGGCCAAGCGGCAATTCTGGCTCCCCCAGGTCTTGTAAAAATCATATGAATTCATGAGGATCCATGCTTTGGAATCATGTGTTTATTTATTTATTTATTTACATTCAGCTTATATCCCGCTCGAACCCCTTCCACAGGGTCTCTGAGCGGCTTACATAGTTTATTATCCCTAACTATGGGCACATACATCATTGGGGTGGGATTGCCTACCAGCACCCAGTGGGGTTCAGTTAGTATTTCCTCAGCTTGTCTCGGCTCGGCTCCCGGCTTCAGCTCGGCCTCTCCATCCACTCTTTCTTCAGACTTCTCGGTGGTCTTCTGGAGTCGACGGGCCATTTGTCACGCCGACTGCTGCGCGGCTCCGGCCCTCAGGCTCCGCCGCACCTGCGCCGCTGGGTCTTTGCGCTTCAGTTTGCGCTGTTGTGGTGCCACGCATCTGTGGATGCGTGATTTTTGTGGTGCCGACTTTTACCTTTTTCCATTATACCCCATTGAAGTCCCTCCCTTCCCTAAACCCCACCCTCCTCAGGCTCCACCCCTAAAATCTCCAGGTATTTCCCAACCCCGACCTACAACCCTACTATGAGGCCTCTTAAACGTGACACAGTTTAGTGCCTCAGCATGTTATTCACTCCTGGCTGTTGTCGTTCAGTCGCACAGTCGAGCGTTCGTTGCATCTAAGACACTGTCTAACCATCTCATCCTTTGCTGTCCCCGTCTTCTTTGACCTTCAATCTGTAAGTGCGAACACGAAGCTGCCATCTGCTGAGTCACACCATTGATCCATCAAGGTCAGTATTGTCCACTCCGACTGGTAGCGGCTCTCCAGGGTCCCAGGCGCAGGTCTTTCTCCTCGCCTGCTTACCGTCTGATCCGCTTAACTTGAGGTAGCAGGGACTGACCCCGGAGGATCTTCTGTATACCAAGGCAATGTTCTACCACTTGGAATGTGGGGTGTTCCAGTGGAACAGTTCCACCCAAAGAAAAATCTTTCATCCCGGAGTGCGCATCAGTTGACCACGCTAGCGTGCACTTGGGACACATCGGATGGTGAAAAACGCAGAGAAATCTAGTTGTGTGTGTATGAAGCTCCCGTTACGTACAGGATTCAGGGATAACACCCGTGAACAACTCAAGATACCGGGCCGAAGAACGCAAAAGTAGGACCGCACAGTGTGTCTGTGCGATTCCTTCCTGCAGTGCCTGCCCCGACTCTCTCAGCAAGCAAGGGCGGAGGGAGGGGGTGCGGCCGCTGCCCACGTGCGGGAAAGGCGCTGGCCTAGTCCGGGCCGGCCGGCTGCTTGACTGCCGAGACTCCTCCTCCTTTCCCCGGGCTCTGCTTTCCCCTCGTCGAGCTTCTCTGCCCGGCCCCCACCGATTCCCCGTAGCCAGTCTAAACTCCGCCCTGGTGCCGCAGCTCTGCGTTGGCTGTCCCTTTAAACGCTCCCTGAGAGCCGCCCCCATTCCCCTCCTCCTCGCCAGGCCCGGCGCGTGAGGCGAGCTGGCGCTGGAGCGCGGGCGGAGCAACCTCAGAACGGCTGTTGCTTCTGGTGGCGGCGGCGGAGAAGAGGAAGGAGGAGTAGCAGCCGCGGCAGAGTTGGAGGAAGCAGAAGAGCAGCAGGAGGGACGGGGCAGGGGGGCGGGCGGGCTGGCTGGCGGGCTTCCTCCTCTTCCTGCTCTCGGCCAGGCGACACCGGACGTCGCCACTTTTGTGCCTGGGGCTCTCTGCGGCCGCGGATGTTGCCCTCGCCGAAGCCTGCTGCGACAAGAGGAGTCGGCTCCCCTCCCCCGCCGTTCTCAGCGCCAGACAGCCAAGGGCACGCGGGCCTTGCAGCAGCCCAGCCTCCCAGTGCCTTGGAGTGAGCCTTGGGGGAAGAGAGGGGAGCCGCCCGCCGTGCCTGGTCCTGGACCCGTTCGAGAGGCTGCCGGGTGAGTAGCGTGGCTGGGGAGAAGGAGGGGGGCGAGCGAAGGGTGTCTGGCTGGGTTGCGATGGCTGGCGCGGAGAGGGTGGCAGGCGGGGGGCACTTCTCTCCTCCGCCCCCGGTTAGCTCTTTCTTTGTTAGCTAAGAGGACTGGAGAGGGAGGTGACTGCGGGGTGAGGTACCCTAGCAGGGGCCTGTCAACGTCGCTCGGCTTTTCTCTTTCGAAACACGCACACCTGTGCTCGGGTGTATCTCGGGTAAGTGAGGCTCCTCAGAGAAGACCCAAGAGAGGGTGAAAGAGAAGAGCGGCTTGGGGAGAAGGGGCGAAATGGTTGAGTTGTATGCGTATTGGGGTGTGTGTGTGGGGGTGTTATGTGGATGGGACTCCAAGTAGGCATTCAAGAAGTCTAAGGAAATCCCCCTTGCTTGGGAAATTTGAAAACTTGTCTGGACAAAGCTGCCGCCGCCTAAGCCAGATTCGAGCACTTCCTGGAGGATGGGCCACTCAGATCATAGTGTCTCCAATGCGGGCTTATGTGGGACAGGACTGTGCTGTGGCTGCACCTGTCTGTGACCATGGCTGAAGAGACCAACTGGACGGGGTGACTTAAGACAACACTTGTTTATGCCACGTGAAGTCCACCCGCTCAGGGGAGCTGAGTGGGTGATGGAAAGACTTGGTTAAATTCTGCTGATGTGCTGTTCCTTTGTGTCTCAGTCTGTAGCCTGCTTGGGTAGTGTTTTAGAAATGCTGGATTTTCTTGGGACTGCAGTTCCTTTCTTTTTCTAGGGGAATCTGTGGTTAATCAATTGTAGCAAAATAAAATAGAAACTTAGAGGCACTTTAAAGAGTAACAAAAGGTTTGTTGAAATCCTTAGTCATTAGAACCATAATCTCCTTTGTGTTGTTGTTGTTCAGTCGCACAGTCGAGTCCGACTCTTCGAGACCCCATAGACCAGATCCCGCCAGGCCCTCCTGTCTTCCGCTGTCCTCTGAAGTTTGCTCAATTTCATGTTCGAATCTCCTTTGTAAACTGGGACAAAAAAAATAGGGTTTCAAAGATGAAGTACTAAATTTAGTTTGTATGCGTGTCTTGGTTTGAAAGTGGCCTGTAAGAAAAAGAAGAGAGGGGGATGACTGAAAGGAGTAAAAGTTTATTATCTGGTTCAGAGCAAGGGAGTGTCCTTGCCACTTCTATGTAATATTCTCCTTTACTGCAAAACTTTAGCTTAGAGTTGTGGTGTGCTGATCCTGTTTAATCCCACTAACAGCTTGACTGTGTACTATAATCAACTTAATTTGTAAAGTAGAAAAAGTTGCCACAGCCTCCTATTAAGGAAGCTCCTTTCATCTGCATTGACAATTTCTCTTTGGGAATGTATATGTAAGAACAATAAAGAATCTTTGATACCATTCTTTTGAATATTTTGTTGGTTTGGTAAATAGTAGCATGCCTTATGATGCTGTCTTGCATATTAGTAACATGATGCTGTAGTCACAAAGTATTGAGAATCTTTCCTGTTCAACTTCTTGAACAACTAAGCTTGATTGATATGGGTTTCATTATTACAGATTCTTGCTGTACGCTAATAATTTCATAGTTCATAATCTCAGGTTCTTGGTACTGGAGTATGAATGTCCACATTAGGCCTCTGTTTTCATTAATATGTGTGTGTGTATATATGTATATTTTTAAAATCTGCTATTATTCAAATATAGAATGTCAATCTAAGTCTGGCTAATTAGCTTCGTTAAATAAAAATACTGGCTTTGAGCAATGACATGCTGAGAGAACGCACATGTATCTCTCAGAAAGAGGGACTTGAAATTAAGCAAACAAATAAGGTCGAAAGGAAATATGTACGGAGGTATGTATGTACCTGTGAAATACAAAACAGTGACATGAGCAGCATACTTTTTAAAATGCCTTAGCCTTGAAGTCCATAGAAATGTGAATTTATTTGCAGGTTAGGAATGATGCAAGACAAATCTGAGGGCTACGACAAAGCTGCATAGTGTATATTCAGTCTTCTGTAGTTGCTGTAGTTTTTGTGCCAAAGTAAAATATTTCAGTTAATTTATATGTAAAATTCAAGCGATGCTAGCAATTAAAAAGATTAAAATCCTTCTTTCCCTCATGAACTGAACAGGATTTTGTAAACTGATGCCATGGGTTGGCAACATTGAGGCCTAGAGACATTTTTGGGCAGTGTGGTAGCTTCTGTTCCTCTTTTTACAGTTTCTGCTTTCACATACACATTGCTACTTCTCCTGATTGCTGACTGGTTACAAACAAGGGCAGTATTTCTTTTGAAAAGCCCAGTGACCAGAAAAGGTGTGTGTGTGGGAACAACTCATTGATACATGTATGAACACACACACACACATTAAAATCATGAGTAGCATTTTTGTTTAGATTACTTTTATACCGCCTTTCCAAGAACAACATGTTTAAGGCAGCTCAAAAGATAAAGTACAGTTATAAAAGGAGTCAGTAACAAAAAACCTGAAACCTAGGGGGGGTTTGTGGCTCTTCCACTCTTCCCCTTGCTTAGATGGCAAGAGAGATAACACTTTGCAATCCTGAGTTGGTTTGTGTACCTTGCCATATCATTTTGGTATCATTAGGAACCTGGATCATGTGGAAGTATAGCTCATATAAAGCTAGTTTTTTCACATGCTGGGGCTGCCATGTTTTCTGGAAAGCACAGTGCTGTGGTGGGAAAAGGCTACATCATGGGCTCTTGCTGTGCAGTGTAGGTCATTTCACTAGAACCACATCATCCTGACTCTCTTCAAAGGTGTCTGCAGTCCTATGATGGGGCTCAGGTATAAATCTGCACTGAATTGGGCTGTGTAGACATATTACAATTGAGCTCAGGTGGGGAAGGGAATAATGTCTGGCGAAACAATGTCTAGAATTGGGTTGGAAGTATAAAAACCCTGCCTTTTTACTATATAGATAGAGCAATCTTTGTTGTTTGGCTCCTACTAACAAAGTGTGTCTACTAACAAAGTAGAACAAAGTTAGAGTCCAATGGCACCTTTAAGACAAACAAAGTTTTATTCAAGGTGTGAGCTTTCGTGCATGCAGATGGAAGCTCACACCTTGAATAAAACTTTGCTGGTCTTAAAGGTGCCATTCAACTTTAACTTTGTTCTATTGCATCAGACCAACATGGCTACCCACCTGGTCTACTAACAAAGTAGTTTTGTTTTTGTTATTCCTTTCATATCTTTCTTTCCCCACCTCTGTTGCCTCTGTCATCCCTTGGGAGATCCAGCCATTCAGTCTGATTCCCAGATTGTTGAGGACCACTCTACTTCTTACTTGCCGGTAATAGAGGATCCCTTTAGGTTGTACAGACCCACAAAGCTGTCTGCAGACATCTTAAATACATGGCTAAGAAGAAGAAGAGATTGGATTTATACCCCGCCCTTCACTACCCAAAGGTGTCTCAGAGCGGCTTACAAATTCCTTTCCCTCCCCCTCCCCACAACAGACACCCTGTGAGGTAGGTGGGGCTGAGAGAGCTCTGACAGAAACTGCTCTTTTTCAAGGACAGCTCTTTATCAGAACTACGGCTTGCCCAAGGTCACCCAGCCAGGTGCAAGTGGAGGAGTGGGGAATCAAACCCGGTGCTCCCACATTAGAGTCCGCGCACTTAACCACTACACCAAAGTACGTGTGGTGGGGTATTAATGGGGTAATTTTATTTTTACTCTAAAAGTTGATATCCTCTTCTAGGGAGGGGGGATTATTATATATTTATTTACATTATTTATAGTCCACCTTTATCACTGGAACTCAAGGTGGATTACACAGAGTGAGTTATTGTTCACTGCAGTTGTGACAACTTGTTGAAATTCTCAATCACAAGATTTTAGGGTCTGTGTACTAGTTGAATTCGGGGAGCCCTTTCTTGGCTGAGGAACTCTGCAATGCTGTGCAGAGTTACTACAGTCTAAGCCCACTGAAATCACTGGTTTAGATGGAAGTGACTCTACACGGGATTACACTGTAACATAGTTAATCAGTTAAATCAGGGAAAACTAATGTACTTGATTATGCTTAATTACCTTTTCTAATGATAATATGAGCCTTCTGCTAATGTGGCCTCCACCTGTGGTGTCAGTGACTGCTGACCCCAACATTTCTGGCTTAGATCTAGAGTAAGGCCAGTTGGAATCTGATAAAGGCCTGCATAGAAATGCCTAGAGCATTTCTCTCTGATCCTCATGGAAGAGAGGCTTGATAGGGTCAGCAAATGATCTCACTAGAGGGCTGGGGGCGAGGCCCAGGAAGATAGATCACCTTCTTTACAGTACTGCTATAACTCTGCCTAGCAATTGCTCTCTGTATCCCTTCTGTTAGAATAAAAAGTGTTAGGGTTGGATACTCTAACGCCTTTCAGCTAAGTTGGATCCTTTGACTGGACTGTTCAGTCTTCCTCCAGATACACAGATAACCTCTAGTGAGTGATTTTTTTTTCCTTAAGGGAGAAATGTGTTGGAGAAAGACCCTATGGAAGGGAGTCATAAGATCCAAACCTTGGTCTTTAAGGCGTCTGTATCAACTGCACACTAATACATCTGTCCACGTTGAATTAAAAAAACTTATGTGGATTATGTATAGCTGAATGTTGGTTTCAGTTTTAAGGCAGAAGATCAAGAAATAAATTGTCAACTTCAGTGCTAATACAAATATAGAGAATCTGTATTTTAATTCATTATCAACCAGAGATTTGTTTTCTGATACTGAGCAGTTAACTCTCAAATTGACTTCCTACTATGTGGAAATAATAATCTGGGTTTATAAAATTATGCAAGGAGTGGAGAGAATTGACAAAAGAGAGATGTTTCTATCTCTCCCAAAACTCGAGGGCATCCAATGAAGCTGATGGGCAGGAGGTTCTGGATGGACAAAAGAAAATACTTCTTTACACATTGCTGCCAGAGGATGTAGTGATGGCCACAGTAATAAACATCTTTTAAAAAGGGATTAG